CTGGATGCCCTCACTCCCATTTGGTGTCCTCTTCTACAGTCTTCTTTACACAGCTTGTTCTCCACCCCAAGTTGACTCCTCTTTCCGCTTTGAAGCCAGGAGACAGGAATGTGCTCAGCTATCGGGATACCTTACTCCTCTGCCAGGCCACCTTCTTGCTTTAAAACAAAAGACCACCACTCCATAGGTTGACCAAGGTTGTGCCAGTCTCTGTCAGTAGGGCTTTAATGTGTTCATCAAAACCCTCCTTAGGAACTGTGCCTGATCCTAGACAACTCACGCCGTCCCCAAACCCATGGATTTCCCTCCATGGAGCCTGTTATTTCCCTCCTTGTAGACCCTGTCTATCTGAAGGGCTCCAGGAACCCACCCTGATTGTTCTCACAATGGTCTAGCTCCTGCATCATGAAGATTATATGAAAGCCTAAGAGATCATAGTAAAAAGAGCCAAGCCAGAAGGCCAGGTTTGGATTTCAGATATACCCTCGTTTCTCTAGACCTTATCACTCATCCAGAAAATAGGGTCACTAATTCCTATTAACAGACCTCTGTGTGAATTAGTAAATGGTTCAACAACAGGTAGAATAGTCCACAGGACCTTTTGTTACAGAGAACAGAGAAGGGACTCATAACTCCGTTCTCTTCCCCTTGAATTCTCTCCTTTCTCCCTACTAACCCCACCCCCACCTTCAGTTCCATTGTACTGCAGGTTCTTATTCCAGTCCCAACCCCTTCCCTCCACGGGTGGAGGGAAAATGCAGTCCATGGCAGGACTGTCTGAACTCTGCTGTGACGCTGTGTGCAGGTGTGACCCCTGCAGCACATATAATCTGGACATCCTTCTGTCTGACGTGCATGGCCTCAGGCTAAGTCCAAGGGGACTGTTCTCACCTGGTTCCCTCTAAAAGAGGAAGAGAAACTGGGTAATGGTAAGCATTTGACTCATTAGGAGGGTGCTCAAGAGTAGCCTAGACAGCTGACAAAGGCAGAGAGCTGCTACAAGTTCCTGTGACGGTTTTAAGGATCTAGAACCAGACACAACCCAGGAAGTCGAGTAAAGGCAAAAGCAATTTTGTTTAAAAAAGGCAGAAATAAATAAATAAAAGTATGCACATAAACACCACACACATGCACACATACACACACACACTCACATATACCACACCATACCACACATATACAAACACCACACACACACTCACGTACACCACATACAATCACGTATACTCACATACACCACACACACATATATACTGCACAAACATACTACACACACACACACACACCATGCAACTTAAGTATTGGTTTTCTTTCCCCATCATGCCTTGAACCTCCTCTCTTTTTAAATGTTTGTGAGTGCTTCGCTTGCATTAATGTTGGTGCACTGCAGCCATGCCTGGCCTGTGGAGGCCAGAAGAAAACATAGGATTCCCTGGAACTGAAGTTAAAGGTGGCTGTGAGACACTACGTGGGTGCTGGGAATTGAACCTGGATCCTGTGGAAGAGCATCCAGTGCTCTTAACCACTGAGCCATCTCTCCAGCCTGCTTTGATTTTTTTATATGAAAGAAAAAGAATTCCTTTATATGTGGTAGGATGTTTTCTAGCATCTCTGGATAGGCTCAAACCCACAAGCATGTCTGCTTTACCTACCTATGGTGTATATAGGTCATCCACAAAGACCTCCAGTCCTTCAACACCAAAAGAACAGAAATAGCAAGAAATAATAATTGCTTACATTGATGAACAGCTAAGCACTCACAAATCACTTCCACATCCATTTTCATTTTGAGCCATGAAATCTCAGCCCTAGGCAGCTGAATCTCAGAGATGCTCAATGAATTCCCTGAGTTCTCACTGTTGTTCAGAGACCATAAGGCAGAGCCCACATTTGATGCCTCTCAATAGAATGAATCTGAAATGGCCCCAATGGCCCGTGTGTTGAAAGCGTGCTTCCTTGTTTGTAAGACTATTGAGAAAGGGTGTCACCTTGAGGAGATGGGACCTATTGGAAGAAAGTTGGGTTACTGAGTGGGGACCTGAGACTGTAGGTTCTCCTCTTCTACTGTATTTGCTTCCCATGTCCCATGACATGAGGAGCTCCCTCTGCTACGTGCTCCTGCTACGTGCTTGTGTCCTCCTTGACACAAGCCCAAAAGAATAGAGCCAACCAATGCAGGACTGGATCCTCAAAAATTCCTGTTTTATGGTCATAGGCATTTTGTTACAGCGATGAGAAATCAACATTTCTGCGGCACATTCTCTTCCTGTCACATCCCACCGCACGGAGAAAGAGCAAGGTGGACATCTAAGATACCAGAGAACGACTTTCCTGTTGGAGGTGCTGCTTATGACCTAATTATAAACTTCAGGAAAATGAAGAATTCAGTGTCTAGATGGGAGGACCCGGGTTCAACTCCCAGCACACAAATGGCCGCTCACGGCTGCCTGTAACTACAGTTCCAGGGTTTCAGTGCCCTCTTCTGACCTCCTTGGACACCAGGCAGGGACATCATGCACACATATACATGCAAGCACATATAGAATAAAATATTTTTTTTAAAAAAAGCAGAATGGAGGTATGAATGGTGAGTCTGTGGGAAACTAAGGCAGTCCAGACTTCAGCTCAGTAGTGCAATACTTGGCTAGGATGCACGAGGTCCTAGCTTCAATCTCCATCAATAAAGACCAAAATAAACAAACAAAAGAATAACGAAAATTTTCATCTGTCTCTGAGCAAGAGCCCAATGGTGTGTAGTGAAGGGCTGACAAGAGAAAAGACTGCAGAGGCAGAGCTCGAGAGAAGGATTGAACAGCTTCCTGATGGGCTGTTAATAAGAAACAGAAATGAGCTTCTAGGAAAGGAAGAGTGGGCACAGCAGATAACAGCACCCAATAGCTCCTGCCTGGCCCAGAACTGCAGGCTGCCCCTTCAAAGAGAAGGAGGTGGGGGCTAGAGAGATGACTCAGTGGGGACAAGTACTTGTTACTCTTGCAGGGGACTGCAGTTCAGTCCCTAGTGCCCATGTCAGAGAGCTGTCTTCAGCTCCATGGGATCCAACACCCTCTTCTGGAATCCTCCAGAACCTACAGTCACACATGCACATACTCATACATAATTTGTGTGTGTGTGTGTGTGTGTATGTGTGTGTGTGTGTGTGTGTGAGTAAATAAATAAAATCTTTATATAAATTAATTAATGACATAAATAAATCTTTACCAAAAAAAAAAAGAAGTGCTGCTTCATGCATTTATTTAAACTCTCTCTTTGACAGATAGAGGCACATATACCCTTTGGCTGGCACAATCCTGATGGTCCATCTCATCATGGTTCCTCCACATCTCTTGCCCCTAATTGCTCCCCCCTCCCCAGCTTATTAGAGCAACAAGAATCCTTATTCCAACTTCTCCACAGCTCTCAACAGACCTATTCCCCCAATTACATACCAAATTCCTAAAATTTAAGTTTTGTCCTATCTTATATTCATGTGTTTTGCATATGCGTATGGCATATATTATATGTGGCATATGTGGTAAATATGTGGTGTATATATATGATGTGTTCATAATGTGTGTGTTGGGGAAGTCTTGCTTATGTAGGCCAGGCTGGTCTTGAACTCATGCAATCTTCCCACCTCAGCCAACAGTGTTAGGATTACAGGGTATATGCCAACACACCTGGCCCATTTGTACATTTATAAGAATTTTTCAATTTAGAGTTTTAATGTTTTACATTTATTTACTTGTTCATTGTGCATGTGTGCAAACATGTGTACATGTGAATAGAAGCCAACTTTTGAGGAAACCCAGGTTACCAGGCTTGGCTAGGCGTGCCTTTACCTGATGAGCCATCACAGGGCCCATCTCCTTCATAATTCACTGTTTTTGGACTCAACGCACAAGGGATGACCAGTATTACAAGTTCACAGAGATCCAGAAGTCACTCAGCCACTCAGACTCATTGTACAGGTACCCCTCCCTGCCACACACCTGCAAGCTATGCACCATTTTCTGATGAGAAAACTAGTGGCTCACAAGGAAAGGTGACGGATGGTAGGATGTGACTGCATTTGGTGGCTTTTGATTGACATGTCGACCCTGGGCCCAATAAGGTGCCCAGGAAGTACCACTGGTCAATCCAGACCAATTTCAGTTATGAAAATTGAATCTGAACTCTCAAAGCGTCAAGGCCAATTGTGTGTACGCATGTGTATGGTGGAAAGGGGATTAGAATAAAGGGAATGAAGCAAGAAGGCAAAGAAGGAAGAATAAAGTTATCTGCCTGAAAACTGATGCTGGAAACAGAAGGAGGCTTCGCCCTTCTCGTCCTACATTGGGGAAGACATCCCACCACCTGTTAACCATTACAGCCTTCAATTCCCTTCTCGTTCGGGGGACCTGAAGCACAGAGCTGGCTTGCTGATTGATTTAAGTTTAATTCATTTGTGTAATATCCCTGTTCAGAGAAATGTCTAATTAACACTTTTGTTGGGGGGAATAAAACCTCCCATATCCATTAATGAATGGGGGAAGGGAGCAGAAGCTTTCCCAGGCAACAACCTAGCGTCTACAGGGTTGTTTTCTGGCTCTATCTTAGAGATGTCTTAATGAGACATGTCTTCATAATGGGATTATTGCTCCCTTTGGGCTGAAAGAAGCAAATGGGGCTGAGATCAGCTAGGGGAATGGATAGTCAATATACATGAGTCAGCACTCACACCCAAGGCTGGGGACCTTGATTCTGGAAGCCTAATCCAGGGAAGGGTATGTAGCTAGCAAGGCACTCTCTGAGCTGCAGGATAAGATTCCAAGTATGAATCCACTTCTTACTGGATTCCTCAGCATCCGCAGGCTTCGCAGAGAGAAATAATATCATAGATTTGTTTATGACTACACAATTTGGAACGGAACGCTTTGTAAATGTTAGTTCACAAGTCCCTGGGAGCAAAGAATACCAACACTATCTCATAGGCAAAGATTGAGAGGAATGGAGGAACTCACCCAAAGTCACAGAGATAAGATACGCAATGGCTAAGTGTGGAGCCCACATCTTCTGATTCAGAAACCTGGGCTTCTCAGGTAGCAGACTTGATTGGCAGCTCATTAGACATGTGCTATTGCTCTCCAGAGGCATTCCTACAGCCCTGCTGGGGATGAATACAAAGAAGGCATTACAGTGTGAACTTCAGCTTCTAGTGATAAGAGAACTCATCTAAAATCATCATAAAATGTAAAATCATCTAAATAAGATTCTACAACCAAAAACAAAACAACAAAAACAAACAAAAAACAAGGAACTTAGATGGGTGTTGGTGGCACATGCCTTTAATCCCAGCACTCAGGAGGCAGAGGCAGGCCGAGCTCTGTGAGTTCAGGACCAGCCTGGTCTACAAAACGAGTTCCAGGACAGGCTCCAAAGCTACAGAGAAACCCTGTCTCGGGGAGGGGTGGGGGAGGTCTAGGGCTAGAGAGATGGCCCAGAGGCTAAGAGTACATACTGCTCTTACAGAGAACCTGAGCTCAGTTCCTAGGACTCATGTCAGAAAACTCACAACCGCCTATAACTCTAGCTGCAGGAAATTTGATGCCTTCTTTTGACCTATGCAAGCACCTGCACTCATATGAACATATCTACACCTAGATATACACAAGTACACATCACTTAAAAAATACATTTAAAAACATTATAAAATTATAAATTCTATTAACTTAAGAATCATCTTAAGAGTCTAAAGTGAGGGCAGGGAGTGGTGCACTGCACTCCAAGGGTTGTCAAAGGAGTCTATGGTCCCACTACAGGATTCAGCAATGTAGGGCTCATCTCTGACCACACTTTCTACTGTGGGTCCCAATCTCAGTGTTCATCTGAATGACCTCTGGTGACCTATTTACCCTGCTCAGGCTTCAACTTTTATGCCTGAAAAAGAAGAATCGTAAACCATGCTTTGCCCAACACACAAGGATTTGTTGAGGTCCAATATACATAAAGGGTAAGAAACATTGGCCAAAAGACAACCCTGAAAAGGAACTTTTTTCACAGCTCATCGTTCTACATTCTAAAACGTTTGTTTGTACCCATGTGCATTAGCTCCTGACAATATAAATTAAAATTTCACAAGAATACTTTAACCCTCAGGTTACACATTTTACACATATCATCTCACTCAATCCTCTGGGCAGCCTGTGTGGTAGAGATAATTTTCCCAATTGCATATGAGGCAACTGAGGTTCAGCAAGCTCAGATAAGCCAGCCAGTGTCAGATATGTGACTGAATATTCGATGGTAGGATTAAAATTCTTATCTTTCTGATTTCAGAGCTGCAATCTCATACTTCTTTACATTAATTATAGATGCTTATTCTACCTTAAAAGCTCAGTGTTAAGAGATGAAAATGGAATACATTGAAGAATAAATTTCACTGTATTGTTGCTGGCAGTGGGGGGGGCTGGGGTTCAAACTTTCCCCATTATTATCTAAACATAGGAATCCTGGAATTATGTATTTGCCTTATGACCCACTCAACTGTCACTGGCTGCCCAAAGAAAATTGTTTTTAAAATTACATATATATATATATATATATATATATATATATATATATCACATATATATATATATATATATATATATATATATATATATCACATTTAAATATGAATTTATGTGTGTACACACTTAGGGAGGATGGTGGCAGCCGTTTTTTAAAAAGGGAGAGAGAATTAGAATGGCTATTGAAAATGTACTGTGGGGCTGGAGAAATGGCTCAGTTGTTAAGAGCACTTCCAGAGGTGCTGAGTTCAATTCCCAGCAAACCACATGTGGCTCACAACCATCTGTAGTGGGATCTGATGCCCTCTGCTGGTATAAGGGAAAACAGGTCACTCATATACATTAAATAAATAGATAAATATTCAAAAAGAAAAAGAAAATGTGGTCCTGTGGTCTGGCAGTATGGAGATACACCCAGGCAACTTGGCTCGCACAGTCATGAACATATAGTATATTCTTCCTTTAATTCTGCTGCTTACGGCCTTATACAGCCAATTCATGTCCAAGGCAGGCAAGGGTGGGCCATACATATCTCTTCACAAGTCCACACACAAAGGCTTGCGGTGATAACCACCAAGATAGACATCATTTATTTTAACTTGAATGGAAGCAAAGCTTCTGGGCAGGATAAGTTTCACCACACAGAGCCATACAGTAAAACACACACTAATACTGGCCTCTCTGTCATGAGTTTACCTACTGGAGATCATATCTACTCATGGAATTGTAGTAAAAATTAAACACAGAACTGCAAACTCCTTACTGAAGGGAAAATCATTATGTATCAATTACCTTTTTTTTAAAGAAAAAAAAAAAAGAAAAGAAACAGGCACTAAGTATACACATTACTGTTACAGTACTTGCCTAGCATGCACAAGCCCTTGGGTTTGATATCCAGCCAAAAATAAAAAGGAGGAAAATAGATTTAAAAAAAAAATCATAAGTGATCAAACCCCTAAGATGCTGTAGTCCCTAAACTTCCAACAGGAAAATGCCTCCTGGGCTTTGTATCCCCAGCATCAGAAATTGCTTTGCTCAGCATGGTCACCGTGCCTTACATAAAGCCTGGTGCATCAACAAATACCCTAGAGAGAGTCCTAAAGCTTGCTGCGCCCAGCTTTGGGAACAACTAAAGACAAAAGGAATTAGCTTAAGTTCTAAATTCCATTGAATTGGCGTCAACTCATCTCCTGCATTTCACACAGCTCCATACTGCAACTGCCACCCAGCATTAGGGCGGCTTAAATAACAGACTAGTTAGAGCAAATTACCATGCAGTTCACTCTGAGGACCCAGGGGACCACGAGACCTTGAGTGGGCAGACAAGGCCAACCAAGTCACAGCTTGGCTAGGGTAAGATTTATAAGCTGGTTTTATAGGAGGTGAAGGTCAGGGGTCAGTGGTGGAGCAAACAGAACAGTCCATCTGGAATGTTATAAGCCTGGTGGCAGACGTGAGAAGGCCCCACCTTGGGGACTAGGGAATAGATAGGTAGGATAGGAGTAACAGAAATAGCATTAGCTCTCCTGAGAGTGTATAGGGGAGATTGAGTGCTGGTCTTTTCTGAAGTTTCTAGACTACTCCCTGGGGCTTCCACAGCCCCATCCTACAGACTGGAATCCTATTTATTAACTTACCCTGAAGGTGAAGCCTCCTCCAGACATTCTAATAAGACCTGATTTCTGCTGCTCAGAGCTTTCTAGTCATGCTACCCACATGCTAATTCAGCATCTACCACCTTGCTCTGAGAGGACCCACTATGCACCAAGGTTCCAGCTAGTCCTGCTCCCCAACAACTGTATATATTCTGAGAAACAAACAAACAAACAAACAAACCACCAGCCAGTATGATTTTAAACCCACTGTTTCTGTCACATCCTATCTGTGATTTTAGATGAGGGGCTTAACTTCTCTCTCTGTGTGTGTTAGATACTACTTGTGTAAAATAATGGGGCTAATTTAAAAAAATCTTCTAAAATCACTATGAAGGTGAGTGCATTAACATGGCTTACTAAGGTACCAAGGCACAGTTAGTGCATGAGGTAAACAACATGCAGAAATTTACTCAAGCCCCAGCAGATGACTATAATCAAGTTGATCTAAGTTGAAAACTCATGGTCTGCCCACTTCACATCTCTCAAAGCATGCTGTCTTCCATCTCTGGCAAACTTGTATTGGATTATAAATCCCTCATGGAACAGCAGCTACAGACCATGGACCTCAATGGTATCAGCCAGAGAGCTCAGAACGGGGGAAGGAATACTTGTGTTGTCTTGCTAGGGGTTGTATGCATAGCATCAGTACAGACACTGAGAAGAGGACCATCACAGAGCCCTGATTGCAGCCATTTTCTCTCCCCTGCTTCTCACATGGCTTCTGGCCTCTTTATTCACCTGAGAGAATGTTAGGACCCCAAGTTCCAAGCAAATTAGTATACCGTTCTGTCATAGTAGACAGGGTAAGTGCGAGTCTGCTTCCAGAGAGTTCTGGGAGTCATGGTAAGGACCCTTGTGCACCTTGCCATCACTGTTAACCACAGACCCTGCCTGCTGTTCTTTCTCCTGCTGCAGCCCAAGCAAGCTCTGATTCATTTCCTTGCTTCTGCAAGCTTGTTCGATGCCCCCTTTCTCAGTCCCACCTAACTACCCTTCATTGGTGTCATTCTCTTTTCCATTTCCCCTTTCTTACTGTTTCCTCCTTTCCTGCTCTTACCCACTTTCTTCCATGTTTCCACCTCACTAAAGAGAGGTGTTTGTACACAGTTCTGTCTTGGTGAGAGAGCTTGGAAAAGCCCCAGGAGGGCAAGGCTAGCATTAGTGTAGCCTAAGTGCCACTTGCTAGCACTGAACAGGAAGCCCAGTGACAATTTAAAGTTTGTGGTGTCAGGGCTAAGGAGGAACCCTCAAGGATGCTGTTTCCACACGGAGGCAGTGCCACAGGCTTTGTGTAGTCATTAGAGGTCAGCTTGGTGACAGGTGCCTGCCAGCCACACCTAGGCTGCCACATCTTTGTTAAGAAAGTCTAAAAGGAGGACCTTGTTGGGATGGCTTCTTCCTATTAGGGCAAGACATTCCAACTTCTGAGCTTAGTGCTACTACCTCCAGTTTGAATGCTGAGGCCAGGGGAGCTGAAGGGAGGGAGCTTGCCGTAAGGAGAGCATCTGACCTTTCTCCCCACCTGCCTCCTTCGTCACTTCTCCTCTAGAAACTTCCACTCTCATGTATGGTTTTCTTTTCTTTTTCTTTCTTTTTTCTTTTGTTTTTGTTTGGGGGGGCAGGGTTTCTCTGTGTAACAGCTCTCAGCTGTCCTGAAATTCCCTTTGTAGACCAGGCTGGCCTCAACTCACAGAAATCCACCTGCCTCTGCCTCTGCCTTGTGAGTGCTGGGCCACCGCTGCCCTGCTTTCACATATGGGTTTCTATAGCTGGAGCCGAAGACCTTGCCACAGTCACCCTCAGGGGCTCTAACATCACTTATTCACAATGCGGGTTCCAGGCCCTTGTCTCTATTCTCTCCCTCCTTTTACTTCCAAGCTCTTTTTCCCTGAGGTGGTGTTAAAGGAAGGGGTATCTTTCCTAGAAGTATAACTCGAGCATCT